CTGGATTCCCTCCCAGTACTGAATGACCCCATCCCAGTACAAACCGGATGCCATAATCCCCTCCCAGTGCAGAATGGACATCGTCCCAGTACAGACTGGGACCCTTTTTTAGTACAAACTGGTTCCCCTGGCCTCTCCCAGTACAGACTGGGCCCATTCCCAGTACCAAGTGGAACTTCTGAAGCCCTCCCAGTTCAGAATGTGGCCTGTCCCAGTACAAACTGTTCTCCTTGGTCCCATCCCAGTACAGACTGGGCCACTTCCCAGTATGAAATGGATCTCCCAGTGCTTCCCAGTACAAACTGGGTCCCCTGTGCATTCCCAGTCCAGACTGGGCCCTTCCCAGTACAAACTGCACTCCTTGGTCCAGTCCCAGTACAGACTGGGCCACTTCCCAGTCAGAACTGGTTCCCCGGACCCCTTCCAATACAGACTGGGCCCCATCCCAGTACAAACTGGAATCCCAGTGCCCTCCCAGTACAGACTGGGCCCCCTCCCAATACAAACTGCATCCATTTAACCTCTCCCAGTACAGACTGGGCCCCTTCCCAGTATAAAGTGGACCCTCTGATCCTCTCCCAGTACAGACTGGGCCACTCCCCAGTCAGAACTTGATCCCAGTAGAGCCTGGGATCTGTTCCAGTACAAACTGGGTCCCTCTGACCCCTCCCAGTACAGAGCGGGCCCCTTCCCTGTCCAAACTGGGTGCCCTGATCTCCTCCCAGTACAGAATGTGATGAGTCCCAGTCCACCCTGATCCTGTCCCAGTACAGACTGGGCACCACCCCAGTACAAAGTGGAACCTCTTATCCCATCCCAGTACAGACTGGGCCCTGTCCCAGTACAAACTGGATCCCTTTAACCCCTCCCAGTACAGACTGAGCCTAGTCCCAGTACAAACTGCTCTCCTTGGTCCACTCCCAGTCCAGACTGGGCCCTTCCCAGTACAAACTGCTCGCCTTGGTCCAGTCCCAGTACAGACTGGGCCATTCCCCAGTCAGAACTGGATCCCTTGATCTCCTCCCAGTACAGACCTGGCCCACTCCCAGTACAAACTGGATGCCCTAATCCCCTCCCAGTGCAGAATGGACATTGTCCCAGTACAAACTGGGGCCCTTTTTTAGTACAAACTGGTTTCCCTGGTCTCTCCCATTGCAGACAGCCCCATCCCAGTATGAACTGGATCCCCCAGTGCCTCCCAGTACAATCTGGAGCCCTTGACCCCCCCCTCCCAGTCCTGAGTGGGCCCTTCCCAGTACCAACTGCTCTCCTTGGTCCAGTCCCAGTACAGACTGGGCCACTTCCCAGTCAGAACTGGACCCCTTTATCCACTCCCAGTACAGACTGGGCCGCCTCCCAGTAGAAACTGGATTTCCAGTGCCCTCCCAGTACAGACCTTTCCCCGTCCCAGTACAAGCTGCTTCCCTCGGACCAGTTCCACTACAGACTGGGCCACCTCCAGGCCGGAACTGGATGCCCCGGCCCTCTCCCAGTATAGACTGGGCCTTGTCCCAGTACAAACTGGATCCCTTTAACCCCTCCCAGGAGAGACTGGCCCACTTCCCAGTCCAAACTGGATGCCCACATCTCCTCCCAGTCCAGAACGCGGTGGGTCCCAGTCCACCCTGATCCCCTCCCAGTACAGACTGGGCGTCCTCCCAGTCCAAAGAGGATCCTTGGATCTCATCCCAGTCCAGGCTTGGCCCATCCCAGTACAAACTGGATCATCTTCCTCACCCCCCCACCTCCTCCCAGTACAGACCAGGCTTCTTCCCAGGACTAACTGGTTCTCCTGGTCCCTTCCAGTACAGGCTGAGCCCCCCCCCAGTACAAACTGGATCATCTTCCTCACCCCCCCGCCTCCTCCCAGTACAGACCAGGCTTCTTCCCAGTACTAACTGGTTCTCCTGGTCCCTTCCAGTACAGGCTGAGCCCCCTCCCAGTACAAACTGGATCATCTTCCTCACTCCCAGTACAGACCAGGCTTCTTCCCAGTACTAACTGGTTCTCCTGGTCCCTTCCAGTACAGGCTGAGCCCCCTCCCAGTACAAACTGGATGACCCAGTGCCTCCCAGTCCAAACTGGAGTCAGCCCCTGTACCCCCGGCTTTCCCAGTACGGAGGGGAAACCCAGTTAAAACTTGAATTTATGGGCAGTATCCTCGGATTTTACTAATTTGGGAATAAATAAAGATAATTGTTGGTCCCGGTTTGGGTTTAGTAACGGAGCTGCAGAGAAATCGGAGGGATTTCACCTTCCCGCCTCATTATTTTACCAATTCTCCCTCGTTTTGCCTCAAAGCGGGAAAAAAAATTAAAAATAAAATTAAAAAAAAAAAAAAAAAAAAGCCAAAGGACTCAGTTCGGGGGCTACTTGAGTAAAAATAAAGATGACTGCTCAAAATGAATGAGAATTATGAATTTTTAATTTATTTTTTCTGGGGGTGGGTGCTTGGAGTATAAAAATGAGATTTTTGGACCTTAAAAATGGGGGTTAGAGGAGAAAAATGAGGATTTTCAGAGAAAATTGGTATTTTTGGACCCTGAAAATGGGGCGTTAAGGAGAAAAATGAGGATTTTGACAGAAAATTGGTGGGTTTGGACCCTAAAAATGGGGAAATAGAGGAGAAAAATGAGGATTTTCAGAGAAAATTGGTATTTTTGGACCCTAAAAATGGGGGTTAGAGGAGAAAAATGAGGATTTTCAGAGAAAAATAGTGGGTTTGGCCCCCAAAATTGGGAAATAGAGGAGAAAAATGAGGATTTTAATAAAAATTGGTATTTTTGGACCCTGAAAATGGGGGTTAAAGGAGAAAAATGAGGATTTTGACAGAAAATTGGTGAGTTTGGACCCCAGAAATAGGGAATTAGAGGAGAAAAATGAGGATTTTCAGAGAAAATTGGTATTTTTGGACCTTAAAAATTGGGTTTAGAAGAGAAAAATGAGGATTTTCAGAGAAAATTTGTTTTTTTGGACCCTAAAAATGGGGGATAGAGGGGAAAAATGAGGATTTTCACAGAAAATTGGTGGTTTTGGCCCTAAAAATGGGGGTTAGAGGAGAAAAATGAGGATTTTTACAGAAAATTTGTATTTTTGGACCCTAAAAATGGGGAATTAGTGGAGAAAATGAGGATTTTGACAGAAAAATGGTATTTTTGGAGTGTAAATATGGAGAGTTAAGGAGAAATATGAGGCTTTTCACATAAAATTGGTGGGTTTGGACCCTAAAAATGGGGAATTAGAGGAGAAAAATGAGGATTTTCACAGAAAATTGATGGGTTTGGCCCTAAAAATGGGGGTTAGAGGAGAAAAATAAGGATTTTGACAGAAAATTTGTATTTTTGGACCCTGAAAATGGGGGTTAGAGGGGAAAAGTGAGGATTTTCAGAGAAAATTGGTGGATTCGGGCTTAAAAATGGGGGTTAGCGGAGAAAAATGAGGATTTTCACAGAAAATTGGTGGATTTTGCCCTAAAAATGGAGAATTAGAGGAGTAAAACGAGGATTTTCAGAGAAAATTGGTATTTTTGGACACTGAAAATGGGGGTTAGAGGAGAAAAATTAGGATTTTCACTGAGAAAATTACTGGTTTGGACCCTAAAATTGGGGTCAGAGGAGAAAAATGAGGATTTTCACTGAAAATCCATGGATTTGGACCCTAAAAATGGGGGTTAGAGGAGAAAAATGAGGATTTTCAGAGAAAATTGGTATTTTTGGACCCTAAAAATGGGGAAATTGAGGAGTAAAACGAGGCTTTTCAGAGACAACATCAGAGCTCGACATCATGAAGGGATTACGACGCCAATCGAAGCCCAAAGCCTTGCACCGTCGCGTGCCGTTCTAGTTCTCCTCTTCCTCCTTCAAGGCGCAAACCCGTGGTGTAAGCATCGCTGCAAAACCGATTTACCGGAGTCGCCTTTTGCCATCCTACCTCGACCGAGATGCGTAAGGCCGAGGTCTCCCAGATCTCCCCGAACCCTGGATACGGCGAGAATTCAGAGCGCCCTTCCTCACAAACTGGAAACCCTACGCCATGCGTCCATCCGTAGGTGAGGCATCCAACGGCGCTGCAAGCGGGTCCGGCCCTTAAATCAACAGCCCAAAATAACTGGGAACTTCCTTTGAGCGGGAACATCTGATCTCATCCTCCTGTTGGGTTCCACCCCGAGCCTGGCCACCACTCCAGGGGGAAAACCAAGGGAGTTTCTAAATAAGGTGAAATACTTGAGCTCTTAATTCTTAATATTACTGAACAAAGAGAGTTGAATACACACATTCTTACAGCATCTTATCCTCACTAATAACTGTATTTCATCTAAAGTACATCTTGCACAAGTGACTAGTAAGCTCATATATTTCATTAAGGAGTTAATTACTGTCGGCATTTTCTCTTAAAAGAACTGACAGCTGTAGTGTAGTCTGTTCTGCTGCGGTAGCAAACGTCACTCAGACACAAGTCTCACGGGTTTGTTCCCAGAGCGCGCTGTAGCTGCTCGCTGCTTTTGCTCATCTTCATCACTGATCGACTCCCGGAGCTGTTTCCCTGTAGATTCCCAAGCGGATGTAATTCCCTTTTCTCGGCTCCACCTTGAACTTTCCAGAGTGAATTTATATTTTTTTTTCCCCCTCGTAGAGAGGACGCACTGGAGGAGTTTCCCCACTGCCCGTTCGTCCTTGGCAAGGGCCGCCCCATCCCTCCCCGGCCGCCGCCTCTCGCGGATCCCTTATCTTCAAACTCTCCCTCTGTCTCTCCCTTTTTCGTTACAGCGCGCTGATTCTCACCTTCAGACCCCGGGGCAGTGCCTGGGTATGCCGGCCGGCTTTCTCCCCCTCGGCCTGCACTCCGGCGAGTCCTCCTCAGCGAAGACTTTGTGCCGATCTTGAGGCCCCCACCCAGGGACGCCACTTGCGGGAGAGCCGAGCACGGCCACGGCCGATGCGATCGGGCGATGCCCCTTTACTCCAACTAGTTCACCCCTTTTCTAACGTCCTCCCGCACACGGGAGCGACGCTCAGTACAAGTCCTCAGGATTGGACGGTTAACTCAGCCCGCGCTTCAAACCTTCTTCCGACTGGATAAAAAGCGCCGCATCAGCCTTGCCGGCCTTCCCGCCTTGGGGAACATCCTCGTCCGTCCCAAGCCCTGCCGGGGGTTCTTTGTCCCGTCGAGTTTCTCCCCCCTCACTCAGGGTCATGTTCTGGCTTGGCTGAGGCTCTTGTCCTCACGCGGGATTGCCCACGTGGCCGTTCTCTCGCAGAAAACCCTCTAGAACCCCAACACCGCGTGTGTATCCGATCGGCCCTTTCGTAATGAAGAATGTCGGTCAACCACAGTTAATATCTAATCCAACGTGGTCTCTCAAACGTGTTGAGCTCCTCATGCAAAGCAATGTTTCAGAGACCCAGCCAGCCTGTTCGTCTTTCTTAAAGACCTCTTCCGAAGGATGGACAACCCGGACGCAAAGACGGGGCGAACAAAGAGACCTAACTGGTGCTCCAGGGACAGGGCTGGGAGTTGTAAATAGTATTGATTCGGAAATACTAATGAACAACCTCGCTACAGTCACCAACGACCTGAACGAAGTACCATGCCCTCTAAGATCCTCCCTCCTAACCCTGGGCAACAGTCAGTGGCTTCTGGCAAGTGCATTCCCACAACGGGAGAACCTTAATGAAAGGGATCGTCAGATAATTGTAGATGCATTAGACACAATTCAAACCGACGTTTCTACAGCCCTTCGTTGTGTCCAAGCTCGATCCTGGGTACAGTCACAGCAGCTGCAATCGTCAGGGAAGGTGAGGACGGAATCCTGCCAAGAGAATTCTGAAAGGTAACAGGGGATAATGCAGCAGAATGTGACAGAAGATTTCAATCCCGGTGGCACTCGGTTAATTTTACCTTTGACCCCCTTAAGAACACGGCCACAGCTCTTGTACGAACGATATATCGAGCTCGGGCGTATAAAACCTATCCGATTGTTGCATTAGGATTGAATCCTCATGGAACTGGGGTTTATCCCTTAGAGCACGGGGAATGGGCTATAAAAAATAAGAAGAAATGGCAAACTATTGATGTTGAGGCCTGTGCTGTGCGAGAGCAGCAAGGATTCATCTGTGAAGATAACACCGTCGGAGCTGCTGACATTTGTCTGGACGCTGAACAGCTGGAGATTCGCCCTAACGAGACTCCAGGGACTATTATAATTTACACGGCGATGGGGTGTGTTTGTCCGAGAACCCCGCGTGATTCTGCACAAGTCGACGACCTTGTCAGAGACACAAGGAATCATCCAACCTCCGGGTCTGCCATATCGTTAGTCTGACCGGGTGTGATTTCCGTTACACTGCTCCTGTCACAACTTTGTTAAGATCTAATTATAAATTAGTCCAAGATTGGCAGCCCACGCCTATCGGCATGGATCTGGCCCTAGTAAGAAAGCTTTTGCACCATGAAAATTTAAAAATAGTGATGAAATCTTATCTTTTGGTGTAAACCTAACAAAACAAATATGGACCTTCCAAACAGGAATAAAATATAATGAAATCCTTTTGACTGGAAAAGAATTTGCTTGGGGAAAAGACAAGGGGGGAGTTGATCCAGAGAAATGATTGCTTGTCTGGAGATTTATTTACTTATAGAAAACGGCTTAGCAACTTATTTATTTACTTACAGCAAGTTACAGTATTACTTAGAGTATGCTTTAATATTGCTAAGAGCCCGGCTTGCCCAGCCTGGTCTGCGGAATTTTACCCAGGACTGCTGTGTTCATCAAAACAAAGCAGTTCACTGTGAAAATCTACCAAGGACGACAGCGGTCAGCAAAATATTATGGGTTTGCTCTCAGCAGTTGGGTCTTGGTAAGGAGTAAAGATAGCCCAGTACGGGTGGTAGGAGTTCTGTCGGTTCTCTTAGATAAGATAGGATGAGTAAACCGGCGGAAAAAACCGCTCTTGTTATTCAAGAAATCGGCCAAGAGAATCTGCGCACGCTCCGGGGAGAAAACAAGGTGAGAAAGACTCCGAGCCTTCCTCCCAAAGCCCCCGGAGACGCCCCCCAGGAGGCGATGGGCAGGGGCAGAGAGAACACCGGGTGCTGACACCAGGCTCTAGAGCTAACGCAGCCTCACCCTGCACACGGGTGTTTGTGCGATGGAACCCAACGAATGTGGACATCCACACTCGGTAAGGTCGGGGTAAAATGTGCGGGGGGGTGCAGGCTTTGTGGGGGAATCCCCTTGCACCCCGGCACAGGAGTAAACCCCCCTGCTGTGTAACTCTCTTGGAGTTGTAGAGTCTCTTTTACACGAATCGCTAGAGCCCAGCTCAGCCAGGCGGAGCCTACCGCAGAGCCTACCTGGAGCCCTCGGTACAGGCCCCTGGGACCCCAAAT